GAGGGAGGGAAAGAGTAGTTTGAAGAAAATAAAATAAAATAAGAAAAAACGCTAAGAAAAATATAATATGCTAAATTACGGAGAGAAAAACCGAGAAACGTTGATAAATCTAGTAACGCGTAATTTTAGTCGTTTCTATACGAGACCAGAGAAGAAGTTAAGGAGAGTTTCAGACAATGTTGGGAAAGGTGTACATTTAAAGAAGAAGAAGAAAAAGAAGGAAAGAAAGAAAAAAAAAAGAAATACAAATAGGTATTCTGTTATTACGGCTTCATTGATTCATCATGCCTTACAATATGAAAGAGCTCGGCCAACTTTCATTAGGATGTGTATACAAGATTGCGAGCATTCTTAGATTCTTAAATGAAAAGAGAACAATAAATACAAAACCGCTCCTTGGTCGTCTTCGAGTAAAATTAAGATAAGAGAAGAAGAAAGCGTTTGCTAGAATTGTTCGAACTGCTGCAGCACAGAAAAAGACGGCATACAACCGTATTGCATTCTCGTTGAATATACGGATAAGGAATGTACGAAATATAAGGGTGTGTGTATATTTGCGTCAATTTTATGCGTAAAAAAAAAGATACATTTATCAGTTCTTTATATAAATATAAATATATATATATAAAAACGTGTGTTTGTATATATATACAAAATATACAGACAAATTCTAAAGAAAAAGAGGATATTCTATCTCGGAACAATGTTGTCCATCGAAATTCGTGATGCTGTTTGATTGCCTCTTTTGTCTTCCGAAGATTGTTACTAGTGGACAAAGGAATTAACAGTTTCCAGTAGGAAATAATTATTGTTGTTAATACGTGCTCGTTGTTCGACTTAACGACTTAACAACTTAATGATATATTGGAATCCTGTTATGGCTCTCTCTGTGTGCTAGGAGATAAAATGGGAAAAACCCTTTCTTTTTTTCTTTTTTTTTTTGTTTTTTCCGAGTTCCTGTATCTTTAGTTTGGACAGCATTGTTTCCGAGGATGAACAAATACACATAGAATATTCTTGGCGAATGAATAAAAGTGATCGCTTATCACGTTATTAACAGATTCACTGCTGCCTTATATTTCATAATTTTACCTCCGTACTAATTGCGTAAAAGATACATTTAAAGGGAAACTATCACAGTGTACGCTTGCCATGCGTAAACTTGGCAGTGAATATGTTAAGGATGACAAGTAATCTAGTCGAAATTATTCTGTTGTTAATTGTCACCCCTCAAATATGGGTGT